GATGAAAAATGGATCCTCTATGCAAATATTAAATGCCAAAAACAATGGCTCAGTCTTAGACAAAAATCACTTCCAACCCCAAAGTCTGGACTCCATCCGCAGAAAGTGATGCTTTACATTTGGTGGGACATCAAAGGAGTAATTAATTTTTGAACTCCTCAATCCACAGCAAACTGTCAATGCAGAAATCTATAGTCAGCAACTGGAATGTTTAAATCAAGCCCTTCATCAGAAACGTCAATCGGAAAGGTGTTCTTCTCCACAACAATGCACATCCACATGTGGCACATCTGACGCAACACAATATTATGGAGTTGGGATGGGAAGTTCTCCCCCACCCACCATATTCTCCAGATATGGCACCATCAGATTACCATCTTTTTCCTTCGCTGCAACACCATCTTAATGGGTAAATGTATGCAAATATGGAAGGCGTTAAAGAGGACATCGGCTTGTTTTTTGCTTCAAAGCCAAGTGATTTCTTTAATCAGGGCATTAACAACCTGATTGTAAGTTGAAAAAGCATAATTGATAAGAATGGAGACTATTTCATTTAATAAATGTTTTGTTTTAATATACAAGTTGTTCGGGTTCTTCATCTAAAAAAAGCAACAATAATTTCCTAATGACCCAATACATACGTTGAACTAGTTATGAATATATATATATATATATATATTATTTTGAAAACAAGTGGAATATGTGCTATTCATTTATCATTGAATTTATTGCCAAGTCACAGACACGTACTGTTGAAGAATCCTAAGTTCAACAACAACACAGTATACATTTATACTATTAAGAAGTATAAGTAAAAGCCTTTAATTCACAATTGGAAAACCTAGTTTCTGACACACAGATTGCCATATTACTCAAGATTCAATACAACATTAAAAAATGAATAATGCTGCCCAAGAAATAGTGACTGGGTAAATAGCTTCCGTGAATGAAGCATATGCACAAGTAGAAATTTACGTGTGTGAATACGTGAATTTACACTACTTTCACATACAAATGTGCATGAAGAAACCCAACAGGTCTAAGTGCTACATGCCAAAGTTCATTGCATATACTGATATCAGTATGAAATTGAGCAAGTTAACTTTTTGATCCAGTTCAGTAGATTTGATGCACATTGTAAATATACCTTAGTTATTTTCATCAATAACATTAAAAGTTCTTTTTATTCTATAAACACCATATAAAATTCTTGCCTGAACATAAAATCACCGTCTAAAAAAAATTAAATATTAACAAAGTATGTAAAGAACAAGTTTTTTTTTTACTATTTAGTTTCATTTATGGATCCAATTACAACTTTTTTTTTGATAATCCTTAACATATTTATCTTTCCTTTAAACCACCTTACCTGCTAACCCTGTCATTACCTGGATCATCTAGGTTTCAAACAGAAATAATAAAACATATCCAGTACAAGAAACAAACGAAAAATATTACTAGAAATTAAAAACAAAAATCCTAGGGCTTTCTGAGTTTGGAACCATTTATAAAAAAAATCATTCCAAGTATATCATTACCATACTATTACTTCAAAAGGTAAAAAAAATGTTTTAAGAAGTGACTATCAAGTTGCTTATATCATTTCTAAGCACCTATTCTTTACAAGTGTTTTTGGGCTGAAGGACTATATTTTCAAAGTTGAAATACACTCATTTGTCTAGATTCTCTTTAGGTGATATATGCAAGTTCAATCAAGCTTATACTGCTCCATAATATTTGAAACATACATCATTTTACTGTTAAATTTAAATTATGCAGATCAGATGTCTTCAGATACCACAAAAGTAACAATTGTGAATTTTTTTTATTTACAAAAAATAACTAGATAATCATAATGTATTAACATCTTTTTTACTGACAAAATTACAGAAATGTATTATATTTTTTAATTCAATTTTGAATGTGGAGATGCAAATTCAGTTTTGATAACATTAGATTTTAAAATCTTAAACTTAAAACAGCTTTAACTCTTTCAGCACGGGCTCAGTCCCCTAGACTGATCTTGTAAGAATTTCGTGCCTGTTATAACTTTTAAGTTAGTAGGCAGTTTGGCAGATTATCAGTAAACATTAGAATATTTCAATAAAAAAAAATATATATATTTTGCATACAAGTTTTAAGGTTTGTTAAACAATGTTCTTCTCATGCCCCCTTTTTTCTTTTCTCCTGTTGCCTATCCAACATGCAAAGTAATTTTCACTTTAAGATTAAAAATACATTTATGCATCAGAAAATTTTCAAATTTCACATGCAAAATCTTTATAATGTCCAGCTAGTTAAACTTTTCTTAAGAAACAAAAACTATATTTTATCTGTTATTTTCACTAACAAATCTCTGTACGAGTTCAGTAGATTTGACTGATCTTATAATTACCATAAAAAATTAGGAAATAAATATAAATGCTTCTTTCATTCCAGAATAACAACAATTTATAGCATGAAAACATAAATGTTTAGGCTAAATAGCTTAAAATCTCATATCATAATACATTTACATATATCTATTATTCTTATTATATTGATATTTCAGCCGTGCCTGGTTAACAATACATAAGTTACAATGGCGTGGCTCACATGCTCTCATGTTACTGTATCAACTATTATAAAAGTAACCTTTAGTCTTCACCGGTCTTGGCTGTGTTTTAGTAGATTAATATTTTGTTAAATACAATCACATTTCCATTATTATACATTATATATGTATATACGTTATTACTATTTAGAAATAAGTTCTTAAACTTATTTTTCTTAAAACATAGAACAGTAGTTATGACCCGTGTACTTGATGTAGGTTGCTAAGCCTTTTAAAATTTTGCACGTGGGGGATATGAAATGAAATAATTTAGATTTCATACATATACACAGCATGGTCACAAGTAAATAGACACCACCTTTTCAGAAAAAATGAAAATTTTCAGCCATATTCACATGAATTGATATATTTATAATTTAACTAATATTTAGTACTTCCTTTTGC